GCGAGCCGAGGAATTTGCTCAAAGCGGAAACTGCGAGCTATAGCCTGCGCCGCCTAGCCTCCCCTTTTACCCGGCCATAGTTTTCCTACAGGACTTGTATATTTTATTCCGCCACTAGCCCCGGCAACTTGATCAACTCTAGAGAACGCCAGGCTTCGTGCCTTTCTGTGCGGAATGGTCCACTCCGGTGCCTCCGTCTTTCCCAGTTTATGGGGTGAGGAAAGCTCACCCTCCAGCTACTGCTGCATTTACATTGGAGAAGCTCGGCGTTAAAAGAATTGGCTGCTGAAAGTGCACCTTCGGAAAGAGCGTGCTCTTGACGTCTATTGCTTCGCGTATAATCATATTCAACTATTCAACAATTTTCTAAACATTGATTTTTTTTAACAATTTTAGAGCTTCCAGTTTGCATTGATCGTCAGAAGCTAAGTAGCTAAATGGTACCTTCGAATTGCTTGATCAATGTTCGTCTCTAGTAGTGTTCAAAAAATGATGACCATCTTGATGATTATACATGCGACAATACTTAGATTCAATTAGGTAGTAATTTATCAATTTTGTAAGCATTGATCTTCTTATTGTGGCCAAATTTATGGCCTCCAGTCTTATGGGCTCCGATTTAAATTGATCACCAGAAGCTAAGTAATTGAACGATGCCTTCCAAGTGCTTGATCAAAATGTAATGTTCAGAGGGTGGACCGTCTTGACAATTATATGTGTAAATACTTAAAGCTATTTAGCTAGTTCTTTATCAATAGTGAATTTTATGATCTCCAATTTATATTGGTCACCAGGAACTAGCTTGCTAGATGCTGTCCTTCGTATGCTCGGTCAAAATGGTCCCTAGTAACGTTAACCCTCTTAATTATTATACACATAACAATACTCACATTCATTTCAATAATCGTTGATCAGCTCTATAAACATTGATCTTTTTATTGTGACCAATCCAGCGTTCTCCTTATATTGGCTCCTAGAAGCTGAGCAGTTGGATGATATCTTTGAAATGCTTGGTCAAAACGATCCCAGGCACTGCAATCAGCAATCATTTTTTAAAAATTAGTATTTTGAAGTTTTTATAATATTGTTTTTATAATTTATATAATGTAGTCACAGCTTACCTGGTTTTTTGACAAAACTTGTGTATTTTACTCTAACACTAGCTTGGAGATCTTGATAAATTCTGGAGGCCGCTTTTGCTGCCATTTTTTACTGAACAGTCCTCCATATTTTCTCAACCAATAGGGTGCAGTAAAATTCATCTTCACAATTTTTAAATTGCCTTGTCGTATGTTCATCTTGCCTGTAATTTTAAATAACACCATGAAGCAATCCGGAAGTTGCTATATTATACAGGGTGTCCCAAAAATATCTCGCAATCCGGAAAGGGGGGTTCCTGAGGTAATTTGAAGTAACTTTTTCCTTAGCGAAAATACAAACCGCGGCTTTGTTTACGACTTATTAACGAAAAACAGTGACCAATGAGAGGCAAGATCAGCTGGCGCGAAACGATTGAGCCAATGAGCGGAACTGGACTTCGTGGCTGAGCCGCCTTGCGCCAGCCGAGTTCGCTTCTTATTGGTTAGTGTTTTTCGTCAATAACCTGTGAACAAAGCCGCGGTTTGCATTTTCGCTAAGGAAAAAGTTACTTCAAATGACCTCAGGAATTGAACGAAACATTTTTGGAACACCCTGTATAAATTAGCTATATTATAAAAAAATGTGCCTCCAAATAAAATTGTTAATATTATAAAAGGATCTCTACGAATGATAAAAAGTTAGCTCCACTGATTCAAACGTAGCACACCAGCAAAGTCGGTGGCAACGACTGTCTCTGTGGATAGTGATCGAGTAGTCTTGGCGCAACAGCGCTGCAACCATGTATATATCTATCTTTCTATTCGACTGCAACGGCGCCGGTTCCATTTCCGTGACAATTAGCGGCATAAATGAAAAGTATCGCAGCGTCGTGAAAATCTGTGATGGCGATGGGTCACGTTTTCTGGCGTGGCTAACGAAGATAACCGAGCTAGCCGGTACACACACGCGACCAACACAAGCCGACCTCTGCACGATGAAAAATCGGCCACCAGGAACGGTTCGTGATACGACTATCAAAGAGGCTTTCTCAGAACCGTAGCCTAACTCTCGTACCAGTCGGGAAACGAGACGAACTGGAACTGGTATCGATTTTACCCGTGCATCCGCAATTTCTAATTATCGAGTGTATCTCGTTTAACGAAACTTGAAGAAACCCCTGTCCTCGACCGACGCCATTTTGCTAATCATGATCTCGCATGCCGTAATATTGCAGAGAAATGCCGCATTAGCTACCTGGTACAGTCTGGCCAGAAAGCTTGCGCCGAAAATATTCCGAGGATTTTCGAGGGTTTGTGATTCCTCGATTGGATAAATGGACTACTTTATTTCTAGTGCAGATCTTCAAGCAGAAATCATTGTCTGCAGCTATTTGAGACACGAGATTGTGCTTCTTCGTTTAATTGTTTTGATACATTGGAATTAGTGTAACAATTAGTGCAACAACAGGAATTAGTGTGCATAAATTCTCTCGACGACTACTTATCAATATTTATTAAATTGTCGATCATTATGCACAATGAAAATTGTCTGCATCGATCGTAAGACACACTAGTTATAGAAAAATGTACAGTTTCCTTATAATAATTATGGTAAATTGAAGATCGTGTAACACTGTCCACTAATTCTCTCGATGTCTACTTATAGATAGATCAGTATTAAAATACAGATCTTTGTGGACTAATAATTTTGATAAATTGCAGATAACGTAACAACAGACATAACAATATTTAATTAATAATTTCTTTCAATGTCCGCTCATAAATCAATATTAAACTGTAAATCTCTATGTGAATTCTCGTTTTAATCGTTTTATAAAAATTTGAATAAAGACCATTGGTGCATCAACTTTGAAATTCTCATGCATGGTGTCGATCGATCGCGATGCCTTGCGATCTACATTTATCCGTGCACGGAGAAGAAATATGTTTGCAGTAATTTTCACGGCACTAATTGCCAGCGATTTGCAAATTACGTCCGAGCTAGGCACCGATCCAAATGCGGGCCGCTGTTATGTTCCCGCGAAATTGATTTCAGTAGCGGAAACGATGGACGCGATCGTCAGACGTTATTTTTATGATTCGTTTGGCCGGCGTAACATAGAGAACGAACGGTTGAGCGTCTTTCGGGATCGTTATCCCGGCTCGTTTCTCGTTGAAAAGCCAGTAGCTCGTCTTCCCCGGCATGAATACGATCGTATTCGAGTAGACGGCCATTATGCAACGACAATGCAGTAATCAAGCCGGGTCTCTTTGCCTTGTAAAAAAGGATTGCTTCCGTGACTTTGCGAATGGCCGTCTCTCAAAATTCTTTAACGGCCCGGCCTGACGGTCTGTTGAACTTTCGAGAGCATCGTCGGCCAGGTGTTAATTCGACGAAGAAAAAAATATCGAGGGTGAAACTGCTGGGACTTGTTTAGAACGTCGTCCTCCATCTTTAATTCAAGAAACGGACTTCGAGTTGCAACTTTTAAAATCTGGTCTTCAACATTCAAAATCAATTTATACAGGTTTTAGGCGTTCATTCGTTGTTTACAATATTTAGATAATTGTAATTATTGATGGAAGAAGGAAAATTTTAGTCAACTAGATTTTCTTACAATTACAATTTTTATAGTCTATTCGTCGTTTGAAATGAATTTATGCAGGTTTTCTGAATTAATTCCTTGTTCTCAACGTTCATATAATTGTAATTATTAGTGGAAGGGGAGAAAAGTTCTTTATTAATTGGTAAATATTAATTAAGAAAATATAAATAAAGTTCTAAATATTAATTGCTAAAAACAAGGAATTGTGACAATCGCGTTTATAAGAGGCGTGTCAATTTTGATTGTGTGGAAATTAAATATTGGCAGCAGCATTAGATGAAATCGAAAAGTTAACGATAGGAAACGGATCGTCTCGTCCGCTAAGTTTCTGCTCGTTCTACGCTATTAGATTCAAGCAAGACGGTGTAATCGAATATTGAATGTCGAACGATTAATCGACCCAGAGCACACGACGAATTCACATCCCGCAACCCGGCAGTAATTCACCCCTACGTTAAGCAAATATATCATTTGACGAAGGATCGACCACACTCTCAGCTTCTCACGTTACCTATGACGAAGTGTGCCGCTCTGTGCACACGGTTTTAGACGCATGTGTTGGGATTTTGGTGACACTGTGTATACCGTACAATGAGGACGAACGTTGTAGAACTGAAAGAAAGCTGTGCAATCTAAACAAAATTATACACCAGAAAAACTTGCAAGAACATATTGTAGATCTTGGAAAGATAAATTATATAGCCTAGGAAAAAAATCATACCGCTTAAGAAAAAATTGTAGAACTTGAGGAAACATTGCAGATTCCAGAAAAAAATAGTAGCCCCTAAGACAAAAATTGTAGAGCCGAGGGGAGAATGTAGAACGCAACAAAAGCTTGCAACCCCCCCCCTAAAAAAACTTGTAGTGCTTATAAAAAAATTCTAGAACGTAGGGAAAAAATCGTAGCGTCGCAGAAAAAATTGTAGAACTTGTACAACCCTTGTAGACTCTGGTGAAAAATTGTAGGTGGTAGGAAAAAATTCTAGGGTGTACAAAAAAGATTTAATCAGAATCAAAAATTTAGGACACATTCTTCTTTAAAAAGTCATAACTCGGATATTATTCCAGATATCGACATAAAACAACCTGCATTGTATGCGCAAATGTTAAAAGTTTAATTTAAGGAAATACACCACGTTCCAATTGCATATATGAAATCATTGTAAACAATATTCTCCATTTCCAAATTTGGAAATATCGAAAAGGAGAGCATAGATAGACTTGTGAACATTTTCTGCAGCATCTACAGAGAGTCAGCAGTCGCTGATTTCTGTTTGATACGCCAGACTAACACATTCGCCCGTGTTTGTTCCAGATCTGAACGGAAGGGGTACGAAGAAATTCGGTGATCAATGCGTGGAGGACCGCGAATGCGGATTCGCAGGCTCGTACTGCGAGCCAAAGAAAAACAAATGCACATGCAAGGAGGAATTCGAGGCTACGAATCATATCGACAAATGTGGACACCGTAAGTTAGTATACTTCCAAGCGCGCCGAAGCCAAACGGAACTTGCAGCGCGCATTGAAACGAATAAACATTCCAGCTGGAAAAACTCTCATGCAAAGATTTCTGTGGCACTTCTGAAATGTTTGCTGACTACGTCGAGAGCAGTCAGCATTTATTCAGTCAACATCCTACCTCTCAGAAGTGGCTGCGCCAGAATTGGTTGCTTTTTGTTCCCTTGTGCTTCATTCTGAAGTTCGTGCTTAAGATCCATGCACAGTTTAAACAGTTCATTTTCGAAATTCAAAAATTCAAAGAACTTTCTTTAAGAAAACTGCAAGCACAGTCCAATTGACCTGACAATACAATTTAAACCTATAACATATAGTATAATTCTAAACAGTCTTGTCGTCATAAGAATCTTGTTTAAAGCACAATCCTTCGTTTCAATTAGTAGATTGCGAATTTTATGCATTTATGGCGCAAGTGGTTTAATGAAATGCTAACTATGAAATCATTAGAAGAATTCAAAAATATCGTTACGTTATTGTCAACGTATTAAAATTACTGAAAGGTTGAATACATTTTTTTTATTCCATTGTTAGTGTATTAAAATTGCTGAAGGGTATATATTAATATATTATATTAATACAATATTTTTATTCAAGTGTAGTCTTTTCTATCTGCAATCTAGTAGTTAGTATCGTCTTCACAACCTAGCTATAACGTGTGCTACGATTTTTAGCGGTGTCATGATTGCGAAGACCCTAGTCGAAGACAGTGTTTAAATGCTTCATGAAGAATGCTAAACGATACCCGAGCGATTTCCAGCTGAATGTATATTCGTTTCACTGCGAAACGTCCCGAACAATTGTAATTCGCTAGCAAATTGACAAGGATGATACGAGATGGCGATAAATAGGAACCTCGAGGATAGCTTTATGTAGTCCTGAACGTCTTCGTTCTAGTCACGTCCGTGGCTCGAGGTTTTTCCCTTCGAGACGAGTTTTACGATCGGAGCGATATGGAAGTCGAAAGGTTCGCAGCTTATAGCTTCTTCTCGTGGAATATCAACGAGGCCTCGGGCTTTTATGGGTCCCAGGCATCGTCCGCGGCGTCAGAAATTATAAATGGGATCCGAGGAGTGTCCAATGAATCAAATTATAAGCGCATACCATCTCTGATTCATTATTCAAGCGATCGTTTTCGGTACGCTCGATGCAAATATTATAAAACGTTCACCGTCGCTTGTATCTTTTTTGACATTTAGGCGCAGGGGATTTAGTATTGATCATGCAAACGAGGAAAAACCAATTTTTTAGAAGAGATAAGTGACCGTAGAATGACGTATTTTTCGTATGGAATTCTGATATTTTTTGATAAAGTCGGGATAGAAAATTTGTGATGCTTTGTGTAGATACAGTGGGCCATAATCAGACAGAATCAAGAAAAAGGGAATATTTTGGAAAAAGATCAGTCGAAAATGTAAACTACAGTTCTTTTTGTATGAAACTATATCTCTTTGATCAAATCGAAGATTGAAAATTCGTGGATAATAAGTAGCCATGAATTTGAGTCTTGAGGAAACGCATTCGGAAATTCATGAAGCTCGCGTGCTGTTGAATAAATACGGTCTGATCATGGCTGACTGTTTCTACTGGTGCGTAGTAAGTACATATATCTTTAAGCTTCAGAATCTCGAGAACGAAGCTTCATATTAAAAAATTGTGTTCTCTATTTTCTTCTTAACTAAAATTAGAATAGAAATTGTCTATTTCAATAAACAAATTTTACTATTTATTTCTAGCTCATTGCAATGAATGAATGTTATATTCTACATTTCTTGCTCTCTATATCGCATAAAAATTGCCTATTATAATAGAAAATTGATTTCACATAATTCTTATTTCTACTTTTCGTACAGTTGTAAATAGTTACGAATTAAACATTGTAATCATCGCAACTTAATGATTCGTAAGTATGTGGCACTAGTAACTTGTTGTTTTCATTGATTAAACACTTGGTTTATTGATCGTCACGGCGTAGCTGTCGGCCAACGACAGGAAAAAGAATCTCTGGAACTAAAGCAAGCTTGATCCAGGATTAAGGGTTGATCACTATTAAGCCACTCTCCTAATTGCGAGCTCGTGGTTGATGTATTGAGGACAGTGCGGGCATATAATCAGTCGATCAGACTCGCTATGCCAATACTGGCTACGCTGTCGGCCACAAGCTTATGGCTGTCACCCCATTTTGTGAGGAATGAAACGATACTTAAACGATTCGTTGTAAACCTTTTATTATTCACACTACTCGTTCCTGAAAAATTTTGCTCACTTTCCAAGTACTATTTTCAACAAAAATCATTCCATGAATATTTTAATTCAGTCTATAAAATGATAGAAACTATGAAGTAAATAGTTTATATCAGTGAAAGAGTGTGAAATACTTGCTCAATAATATCAACTTCACTTTTGATCAATAGATACCTAACACTTTATTCAATATTAACGCTTTTCATGTAATTAATTACTATCGCGTTAATTTGACGAATACTTGTTGACTTTAAATATTAGTTATTTTCATGTATTTATTTACTATTACGTTAATTCGGCCAACACAACAGCACACATTAGCTCCTTTTCATGCATGTACGGTATTCATAATCACATTAATTTGATACCCACTAGCTACCACTGCAAATTACGATCGCACACAGTATTTAATTGGACATTCTCTGCAACTATGATACACGTAATCATAATTACAATAAGCCAGTTAAACCAGTCGCGCAACATCGACTGGTTAAATTCGCATATGCTCGAAACCATAATCAGAAAGGGAAGTGTCCCATTACACGATTACACGTGGAGCCATAAAGATTAATTTCCTCTAATCTGGACAAACGAATCAGCGAAATCGATGCTTGTACCACTAGCCGATTGCTTTTGTCAGCACATATATATTTTCATCACTGAAAACTGGGGCGTCGCAAATAAAAATGTTCAGCAGAACAGTTCGAAACAATGAAAGTTATCGATCACGGAGGAGGCGGAAAACTTTCGAACGAAGTTGATATCAAACAACACGATGGGAAGTCTTCGGAGTTCCTGCGGGATGAACTTGACACCGGGGATCAACTTTTTAAAAATTACTCGAATAACATCCGACCCCGATGTGAACTAAACCTGAAGTTAGGGTAGGGCATCGGGGCATCGCACGACAATTGATTGACATATCGACGATCTCTCAGAGAGCGACACATCTTTGTATGACAGTGATACAGAAACGATGTTCTGAGGTCTATGCTCGTGATTCTGCAAAATGATTTCGCTGATTCGTGGAAAATATCTGCGATGAAAGTCGAAATTAATAGAACATTCTATTAATTTAATAGAATATAATTAATATTTTAATCTTTATTTTGTCTAGGTAATTTAATAGAACATAGTTAATATTTTAATTTATAATTTGTCTAGGTAACTTAATAGAACATAGTTAATATTTTAATTTATAATTTGTCTAGGTAACTTAATAGAACATAGTTAGTATTTTAATTTATATTTTGTTTAGATAATTTAATAGAATATAATCAACATTTTAATTTAGTAATAAAGAATTACATTCTAGCAAGAGAATACGTTCAATAAAATTATAATAATACTTTGAGAGCAGCTTTTAGTAAGAACATGATTTTTTGCAGAAGCTTTGTAAGCAGCCTCAAGTCAGTGTTATTAATCACGGATTAGCACCGGTTTTATCTGATTTATTATTACACCCCAGAGTCTAACGAGCCACGATCCCGCATGCAAATCTTCGTTAACAGATTCATATCTCTCGGATAAAGTTCTCAAGTTATTCGAGATACGAGATGAAAGTTTGATCAAAACTTTCGTTTTAATGAGGATATGGGTTCCCAAACTAGGGCCTGAAAGTTCTGTAACGTTAATCACGTTTTAAATATTGTGAATGTTGTGAAAATGTGTTAAATATTGTTAAATACTGTGTAAGATCCTATTTATGACACGATTTTGTCAAAGGTAAAAACTTCATCACACGATTCCAGTAAAAACCAACAATTTATTAGGTATTATTTCCACGCTATTCTATTGGAAAACAAAGATTTGTCGCATATCATTTTCTTAGTATTCTGTTAAAAACGAAACGATTTAAAACGAACTAATTCCCTGTAACTAAAATTGAATCAAAATTTTTTTTGAGTGAGATAACCATGAATTTTTTAACCATTTTCTACAACTAATATAACCATGAACCGAGATTTCTACAACTGAAATAACCATGAAACGAAATTTTCTACAACTGAAATAACCACGAAACAAAATTTTCCACAACTGAAATAACCACGAAAGTTTGTAATTTTCTCGCTGTGTTCTGTTTCACCCACTGATTTTTGCTATAACTGCATAAAATCCCGAGTCCATAAATAATAATACAACAACATTTCCTACAACTGAAATCGGGCAAACCAAAATTTCCTGCAACCGAGAAAACCACGGAACAGGATCATGAAAGGTCCGTAGAAAATCTTTAAAACATATGCTTCTAATTAAACCATATTCCATTCCACGTTCTAAAAATCCAAAGAAAATTCGCGGGACCCGCTGTACATGAAAAACGAGTTGAAAAATTCTATAGGAACGGTACCGCAACGAAACCAACCACCCCGTAGAAAACAAAGCCTCGGAGGAATAATTTGCCGGATACAATGGCGATTCCGCGAGCATTCGTCGTAAAAGTAAAATCGTTTCGGCCGGCTGCGGCGCGAGACAAGTCGGCTTTAATGGCTTTTATTTTGCAGCGGCGAACGTGAACGAGTCGTGCTTTTTTAACGAACAATGCGAGGCGAAGGTGATCCAGACCGAGTGCAGGGACGGTCGGTGCATTTGCATCTTCGAGAAGATCCCGGTGACACAGCCGGACGGACTGACAGTATGCGTCGGTAAGGACTGAGAGAAAAACAAACGGGGTGAGATGGATAAATAGGGAGACAGAGAATGAAAGAAAGAGAGAGAGAGAGAGAGAGAGAGAGAGAGGAAGAGAGATAGAGAACGCGAGGGTTGCACGACATGAGTTCCGCGCACTTTTTAATGAGATTCCACCGGCGTGCCAGGGGACGCGAGAATGAGACGTGTTCTCTGTTAATGGAATTCCGGCCTACAATTTCGCAGACTTCATTACTTCGTCAGCTGTCTCTTGTGATCAATTAAAGCGGCCGCGCACGCGGCGAACTTGGGCGCTCGAACTGCAGAATTCGATTAAACAATCGGAACGAATGGAATTGGAGAATCGAGCTGGGAATCATGCCCCGAAAATTCCGGTTTAGCTTGCCGACGCTAACAATTAAATAACGCAGGTGAATCACCTGAAACTGAAACACACGGAAAATAAACGAAGTCTACCAATTCTTTCGAAGATAATTGATGCAGCGAAAGTTCTAACTTTTTTCCTGATTTAGAGACGCAATTTTAAGCTTTGTATTGCAATTTTTTCCGAGGCCAAATGTTGCAATATGAAGGACTTATTTATTTATTTCGAAACCCTGTTTTGTGGAACATTGACCGCTGACAGCCATTATTGCAAGCGCCAGGAATGTCTAAAGTTAGAAGTTCTAGACAATTTATCTGTGAAAATGTATCATCTAGAATTTGGCTTGAGAATTTTCTAAATTTTCAATATTTGATAAAATGACTGCGGTTTGAAGAAAAAAAACGTTTGTGTTCTGAGAAAAATCTAGTTCGAGTGTTTCTTGTGTTTCGATCAATGTAATTTTATATCGATCAATGTAATTTTGTACTGGTCGAAGTAATTTTCTATCGATCAATGAATTCTTTTTATTGATCAATGTAATTTTGCACTGATCAATGTATATTTGTGTTAATCAATTTTGTATTGTATTTTGCGGAAGGAATACGAAAACGTTTGAATCTGTCTTTATTTTTAATTCCGCGACGCTCAAACTCAGATGCTTCAGAACATAAAGGAAGAAGTTAGAATAAGGTCAGTTGCTTGACGAGCCGCATCCAGGGCTCCTTTGTCCCAAGGCTCATTCGAGAATACAGTCCATGACTTCAAACTTCAATTTATCACGGAACTAGTGGTGTCAAGTAGTTTTATATAGACACTGCAGAACATATTCTTCTTTATCATGGTGATTCTGTTACAAATACATCAGAAATCTGATAGCCTCAACCCGCTCGTACATGAATGAAATGGAAACAATCGCCAGGAAATAAATCGATCTAACTTTTCAACGTTATTTCCACGCCTTTGTATCAACTAATCAATTTTTCCGAAAGATATATGTTTGTCCATTGTGCGGCGAATAATAAAGCCTGAGAAAATCTAAATTTTCATACATGTATGTATACGAGTATGAAAAGATGAATCTCTTGTCTACCAATTTTTCAAATAATTTTTCACCAATTTTTCGAGTAATCTCGTACGAATTTTTTTAAACAGCTTTGCCGGAACTTCGAAGATAAATTTGTACCGATTCTAAAAATAATATTTCACCAATTTCTACAATAATGTTCTACCAACTATATAGAAGGAACGTTTGTTGGTCGAACTAAATAAAGATATGCAATTCAAAGACAAACAATAACGTGAACTGTTTCAGCCGAGCAAAGAGAGGAGCCCAATCTGCAATACGTCGACGCGACGATGATCGGCGGTCTCGTTGGCATGGCTCTCATGTTCATCATCATCTGCGTGGTTCTTAGGCTTTTCAGCAAGTAAGTTCCCCGGTTTGCTTATCCTTCAATAATAACTCTGAACTTTAGCAATCCCTGAAAATTCGAGGACGAAACTTCGCGACCTACTTCACCGGGAAACCCTCACGTGAAAACGCGTATCTAATGTGAATTTAATGTCCCCGCGTTGCATACTCATCGGGAGGAAGAATCCACTATGCCAGCTACTTCAAATTCATTTCACAAATTTATTCGGTGCATTGTCATTCGAGCAACACAACTATGCTCCGGCTAATGCCACTGCTGCAGCGACCTTTTTTTTCACTATCCATTTTCCTTCTTTCTAATAGGAATTTGTTCATCTTCCTAACATTTGTCGATTGATAATCACGACATACGATCACACTAAATGGAAAAAAATGGGCAGCCGTACAGTCTGATGGTCGCCGTTAGTCCCTGAACGGAAGATACTATCTGCCGTTGATTTGAATTTATAGCACGGGCCGTCAATTTAAAAAATCGACGAGTCGAATCGTGAATGTATAAAATTCCCTTTTCCAATTTCAACAATATTTTCTGGTTCATGGAGTTCGGATAACGGTTCGAAATGGTCCGAAGCTTTTATCCAGATGAACTTTCAGTCAGCTTTCTACTGATTACGTTTATTCAAATATTAAATTTATGAGATTTAAGCCACGCCGGTCGCTTTGCTGTCGCTGAAATCGCTTTGTAAAGATGGGAACACGTCGATTCGAGCGAAACTATCGATTTCTCGGGAAGAAGAAGTGGCTGGAAAGTGGCCGTTGCGCGTGGTCTGATTGTGGAATTTGTTTTCAGGGCTCGCTGGCGCGAGAACCGCACGATCTTCAACACGCCGAACGCCCGTCTGATGAACGTCTCGCTGCTGAGGGAGAATAAACTGTTGCACCCGCAAGAGAGACGCGGTTCAAGGGCGAGCGTACGGGTTCCCTCGAGGCAACCCTCGATGGCCTCCTTACGCGCCCACTCGCCGAACGCCTCGCAAGGTGCGAAACACTCTCAGCACTCACAGCACAGAGTGAGCCGTACGGGTTTTTATTCATTCACTTACTAAGCAAGCAACTTGTTATACAGTGTCCCGTTGAAACAAAACGAAACAAGCAACTCTTTTGCGCGCCGGTATATCGGGTGTTCGATGGAAATCGAGGCGCCCCCGACGTGTCGCCATCCACCATAGAAACAAGGGACCAGTTCATATATCAATTCTTCTCTCTTACATAAATAGTGTTACCTGCGTGTTTCTTCATTATTTTGCAAAAGTGTTTCCTTCTTTTTTTTCGTCTGTGTTTTTCTTTCGTATTTCTTTGTTTTCTTTTCTTTTCTTTTTTTAAATATTTTTTTGGTAATCGTTCTGTATCTTTTTTTTGGATTATGTGAGAACAGCTTTTGACTGAGTAGGGTATTCGCGTAGGGGTAGTCGAGGGTGTTCTCCGCGTGTCAGAAATGTAGAATGCATTGTGGTATATTGGAGAAATTGTATGTGTACCCGGGAACGTCCCTCATTAAATGAATGTACAAGCATGGCAATGATTAAACGATCTGAATGCGCGTAGTAGGATAGAGAACATTCGTTACAAGTATCTGTAGAACTTGATGGGAATATCGATCGTAGAGAACGCGCGATTTTACGCGTCGCTATCTTGCTGGCAGAATGACGCAACTCGGACGGCTTTCAACGAAACGTCGTAACTGTGCGGCAACGAGTCCAAATCTATACAGAAACATTATAGTTGGGTGCTCATTTAACTTTAAAGCAACCCCTATTCTGTTTTGTCGCACTGTTCAATCTTTGGTGTAACACGTTACACAATCATAAGTTATTCAATAAAGTGATATAAATCTAAACTACACATTGTTCACTCTCATACCTTTTACAGAGTGAAAAGTCATCGTTGATTTGATTTGAGAATAAATGATAAAGACAAGAATAAAACTGCAATCATTAAACTGCGGATTTTTATGCAAAATAAAAATGATCGTCATTGATTGCAATAAACAACGAGTCAAATAGAAATTTCTTTATTTTTTAAATCACCGCATCGAGTTGAAAATAATATATAGATGTTTTTCAATTCTTTTAACATTTCCATTTCTTTTTAAATTTCACCCACCTATTTTTCTTATAAATGCATAAAATCCGTAATTTAATAATCATACTAATATTCGCTACTATTTCTCTACTTTATACTAGAATATATAATTTAAATGTTTTATATGCCACAATAAACGCTGTATAAAAATGCTATAAATGTAGAAGAACTAATCGGTCTCAATAATTGCATTCTGAGTCACGTCATTATTACAGCAAATGAGCGACATGTAGTCTGAACTTTAAGTAGTTACATTAGCCATATTTAAATAAGTTTTTCCAAGCAATCGAACGTTGATCGAACCGTATTATACAAATTGAAGATCCACAATCACAGATCCAATTAAGCATAAGCTGCATACAAAGACTGATTCTGATATCGTCGAACGCGAAACTATGTCCTAACGAAGACTGTATCGCAACAAATGTTGACTGTTTGCAACGCCACTTTAATGCTCGCCAAAGTTGCGAAGACTTCAAGATTATATGCATTCAATTTCTTTCAATAATCCGCAATGCTTTGTGCAGTTCTCACATCACTTGATCTGATCCTTCGAATACTTTTGTCGCACGCCGTTTCCAACTGTTGCATTGACGACGGAACTGTTTACAGTGGTTTCGAATAATTGTGAACCGCTCAGTGGTAAACGTGAGTTCGAACAGTAGAAATGTGTATTCGAATAGCTGAAACAAATAGAACGTAGAATATCGACCGACGACCAGAGAAAGTCGTGCTTTCTTTGGAGATACGGTTAGCGATAACGCTTACACGTACGATTTGATAACAGTTGCGATCAAGGTTTCAGAGTCTATTTTTGATAGCCCTTGTAATTAGAGTCGATTAACCAACGGGGACGATGGATTCCTCGGTAAATCAGCCGGCGTCGAAAATAGCTGTCACCCATTTTATCGATTTCCGTAGAACATCCCATATATGTACAATCTAGATACGAGTACATAAAGTAGGTGACTTACCTACTCTTGCTATCTTTACTTTAGAAACCTTCTGTTCAGCGCAGAATCCTTCTGAATTTCTCGCATGCACAATTGCCTGCCAAGAGGGTAGATATATCTGCTAACACATCCTATATGCGAGTGTGCATCGAGATCGATGTGTTACATTTGGATGCATCGTTGTGTTACTGAACAGTTTACGGTGTTTTTGAGCGCTGGCATTCGATCAAACGACATATTATGTATCTCCATTAAAAGATCTCGTAGACTCTTTCTAACACCATATACCACTCTTGGACCAAATCTGAATCGTTTCTACAGTTAGTCGATTTTTCAGAAACAGAAATTACAGGATCAAGTATCGTGCCGAGAAACCGTAAGTTCATGGGGAACATTGTATAGTAAAGACAGTAGATAAATACCTGTAACAGGAGAAATGTAAATATCTGTGCACCTTGCGTTAATTAGTAAGTGAATGACTATCTCGAACCATCCCCTTAGTGATAATTAGAGAACGAGGAAAGTGACCACTTCGAGTCATTCCCAAATTTGTTCGCTGCGCGAACAAATTTTTCCAACGGAAGCTGTTTCGTGGTCAAGTGACTCATAATGTCGCACCAATTAATTTCTTACTATTTCGTTATTTTGTTATTTTTAGCAGGAAAAACGGGTCGGTCGAATAAATAAATAAGCATCGCGTCTGTCGAAAGGTGAACTTTCCGAATTTGTTCAGAAACGGCCGAAACGACAAATTCCAATTTCTTCCAGCAATTTGCCAGTAATCCCGAATTCAAGTCGAAATCTTCCAAAATGCCGGAGTTTCGAAAGCTCGCTCTCGACGCAATGACAACTTCCGTTTGAAAATGTTTTCTGGAACAGCGAACAGCTTGCGAATAACTTCGAATGAAAGCGATCACGTCCGAAGAACAGGGTAGATCATGGAATGAAAAATTTCGTTAGAGATTGTCGCGATGAATTGGACTCGATCAGAGGAACCACCAGAACGATGCATCCCTCTCGCCATAATCATGTTTCTCTATTAATGGTTAAGTCAAATTAATTTGACTCTCTTTGCAGTCGACCATCTATAGCAGTAGTCTGTTTAATGATCCCGTCTGTGACCGTTAAATCTTGATTATCATACTGTACTGTGGACCTATGAGGTGCTCTATTATAAAAACAAATAAAACACTTTTCAAACTTGACGCGTCCTTCGAAGAGGGTAAGTTTCGTAAACCATTTATCAGACACTTACGTTTTTTACTCTGTTACGTATAATATTATATACATATACATATACGGTGTATCGTAGCGTGTTTTTTTGTGTTTCTTGTATATATAGCACCGATGGTACTTACCCTCTTTCGGATACGTCAGAACTTCGAGTGTTCGAACGTTTTTCGGCTCTGTCTCTTTGTATTTTCTTTTTTTTTTTTTTCAAGAGCCTGTGAATTCTTGTCGATAGACCAGAGAGTTTCCTCTAACCCAGCGTCTTCGAGGATCACGACTATAGTTGCTTGCTACAGTAAAAGAACATTGCTTGTGTCTCTATCGTAGAGAGATTGCGATTCATAGTCAATCCTGACTATAGATATCATTATATATAGATAGAAAAGAAATTCGGTAGAACAACCTGGGAGGGAATAAGAAAGTTTCATCGAATCGTCTCGTCGTTCTTTGCGCTAGTTTTGCTGAACTTTTCTTGAATGAACCACTTCAAAAATCATCTATAGATCATATACATACATTCTTTGATAACGTCCTGGAATCAATTTTTTTTTCAATCCCTCGTCCCTTAGAAATATAGTTAGACGATCGTTATTAGCACTTTCAAAGGTTAGACTTCTAATGTAGACAGTTATAGATAATTTTGTTTGATATGCAATTAATGTGCCAATAATAGTATTCTTCCAGCTTCTATTTGCGGTATTGAACGTTCGAAAATATTCACAGGAGGACACTGAATAATTATTTTCGTGGAGCCACATTTACGATGGTGTGAACTAAACGATCATTATTCTTAGATTCACGGTATTGTAACATAATTATTTTCGCAGTACGATCGAACTGACTCAAAATACATTCGTCCATCTTTCATTTGAGCCGTTGAACGTCAAAAAATCTTCGGGGATAAGAAAAATATAAACAATAAATGTTCCGCCCTTTTCAATGGAATTTTCGTGCTGCGTCCGTCTAATTTTCTCCGGGACGAATTACCTTTTTCTTTTATCCCTAAAAAAGCATTTTATTGACAGGGATTGTTCATTCATGTCAATATTCATTGTCCTTCGTTCCTTCCTACGTTCATTGTCCTTCAATGAACGACGTGCAATCAACAAAAGGTGACTCATTAGGCTTTCAATTTCGTAGAGCCATAGCCTTCTTTATTGAAGTTTCTAAGTTTTTTATTTTTTCGCGCCGTCTTCTTTTCGGCAATAAAGACATTTCTGCACTTTCGAATAATGCACACCTCATCGGCAGCATTTTCTATAACAGGGTCGCTAGCACGCACCGCTTCAGTTCAGTTCATCTTTAATTAAACGAACAGCGATACTAATCAATTCCGTCGCTTAGCGTAATCAGTCTTACAATCCGAGAGGTTTTGTAATCGCGGAGTTTTAGTATCGGGTGTACTCGCTGTGCACCCTACAATAAACGACATAATGTCCATATAATCTTGAATAAATTCTGGAACCGAATTGAAGACTTACTAAATTCTATTTAATTATAAAGTGTCTGAATACTTAGATTGAGGAACATCAGTATTCTCTTGAATAGAATCTGTAGAATTGTCTACAGAATTTTACTAAAAAGATCTTAAATAAAAGACGCCAAAAAGGTGAAAGAAAGCTGCATTTTAAAGGAAATGAAGTATTTAAACTAAAATCCAGTAAAGTAGAGTAAAACAAAGTAAAATGAAGTAAAATAAAGTAAAATAAAGCAAAATAAAGCAAAATAAAGTAAAGTAAAGTAAAATAAAGTAAGATAAAGTAAAGTAAAATAAAGTTAAATAAAGTAAAATAAAACAAATAAAGTAAATAAAGCAGATAAGACAAATAAAGTAAATAAAACAAATAAAACAAATAAGATAAATACAGTAAACAAAGTAAAAAAGTAGTTATCCACAAAGTAAAATACCCACACAAACAAGTAAATACCGAATACTAAACGTGATGCATATAAATGAATAATTTCTTGTTAAAATCGTCCGGAAATCATGTCATGCGTCGATGAATTTTCAATCATNTTTTCTTTTTTTTTTTTTTCAAGAGCCTGTGAATTCTTGTCGATAGACCAGAGAGTTTCCTCTAACCCAGCGTCTTCGAGGATCACGACTATAGTTGCTTGCTACAGTAAAAGAACATTGCTTGTGTCTCTATCGTAGAGAGATTGCGATTCATAGTCAATCCTGACTATAGATATCATTATATATAGATAGAAAAGAAATTCGGTAGAACAACCTGGGAGGGAATAAGAAAGTTTCATCGAATCGTCTCGTCGTTCTTTGCGCTAGTTTTGCTGAACTTTTCTTGAATGAACCACTTCAAAAATCATCTATAGATCATATACATACATTCTTTGATAACGTCCTGGAATCAATTTTTTTTTCAATCCCTCGTCCCTTAGAAATATAGTTAGACGATCGTTATTAGCACTTTCAAAGGTTAGACTTCTAATGTAGACAGTTATAGATAATTTTGTTTGATATGCAATTAATGTGCCAATAATAGTATTCTTCCAGCTTCTATTTGCGGTATTGAACGTTCGAAAATATTCACAGGAGGACACTGAATAATTATTTTCGTGGAGCCACATTTACGATGGTGTGAACTAAACGATCATTATTCTTAGATTCACGGTATTGTAACATAATTATTTTCGCAGTACGATCGAACTGACTCAAAATACATTCGTCCATCTTTCATTTGAGCCGTTGAACGTCAAAAAATCTTCGGGGATAAGAAAAATATAAACAATAAATGTTCCGCCCTTTTCAATGGAATTTTCGTGCTGCGTCCGTCTAATTTTCTCCGGGACGAATTACCTTTTTCTTTTATCCCTAAAAAAGCATTTTATTGACAGGGATTGTTCATTCATGTCAATATTCATTGTCCTTCGTTCCTTCCTACGTTCATTGTCCTTCAATGAACGACGTGCAATCAACAAAAGGTGACTCATTAGGCTTTCAATTTCGTAGAGCCATAGCCTTCTTTATTGAAGTTTCTAAGTTTTTTATTTTTTCGCGCCGTCTTCTTTTCGGCAATAAAGACATTTCTGCACTTTCGAATAATGCACACCTCATCGGCAGCATTTTCTATAACAGGGTCGCTAGCACGCACCGCTTCAGTTCAGTTCATCTTTAATTAAACGAACAGCGATACTAATCAATTCCGTCGCTTAGCGTAATCAGTCTTACAATCCGAGAGGTTTTGTAATCGCGGAGTTTTAGTATCGGGTGTACTCGCTGTGCACCCTACAATAAACGACATAATGTCCATATAATCTTGAATAAATTCTGGAACCGAATTGAAGACTTACTAAATTCTATTTAATTATAAAGTGTCTGAATACTTAGATTGAGGAACATCAGTATTCTCTTGAATAGAATCTGTAGAATTGTCTACAGAATTTTACTAAAAAGATCTTAAATAAAAGACGCCAAAAAGGTGAAAGAAAGCTGCATTTTAAAGGAAATGAAGTATTTAAACTAAAATCCAGTAAAGTAGAGTAAAACAAAGTAAAATGAAGTAAAATAAAGTAAAATAAAGCAAAATAAAGCAAAATAAAGTAAAGTAAAGTAAAATAAAGTAAGATAAAGTAAAGTAAAATAAAGTTAAATAAAGTAAAATAAAACAAATAAAGTAAATAAAGCAGATAAGACAAATAAAGTAAATAAAACAAATAAAACAAATAAGATAAATACAGTAAACAAAGTAAAAAAGTAGTTATCCACAAAGTAAAATACCCACACAAACAAGTAAATACCGAATACTAAACGTGATGCATATAAATGAATAATTTCTTGTTAAAATCGTCCGGAAATCATGTCATGCGTCGATGAATTTTCAATCATTCTTGCACGAGTTCTTTGACCCGTTGTCGCGAGCTTGCACCTTAGGAAGCGCAAAGACCGACGAAACGATCTGGTGTTCGAGTGAACGATCCCGTCGATCACTGCAACGATCGACGGACGAAGATCATCGAGTCGCCGACACGACGCGATTCTTCTCCAGCTCAACAGATTTTTTTATTTCCTCCGCATAGTAGGAGCAACTAGTATTAGTGTTGCGAGACACGAGCTGCGGCGATGAGAATGGATACACGCACTCGAGTACATTTCCATTATCGCACGGAGTTCTGAAGTAGTTTCTAAACGGACCGGGTTGCACTCGAAGGAATGCAACTCGGTCAATTGACTCGATTACACGGTAAGCTAGACTATCGATCGGGTTCGCCGGAAATGAATAATAAGTCCCGCATGCCACGCAGCTCGCGATACACAAGCTCCTATATTCGATACAAGCGCGGCTTGTTACTCGATTCCGAAACCACGGCGGACCCGACTGCGGAATTTCATACACTCTTTTGAGATTCCACTTCTCGAGCACTTTTTCAATTAGACGACTGCATGCACGCGCACGTAATGGCGGTCGGTTGCGAAATACCAGTTTCGAAACTGTCCGAGACTGACCGAAATGAATTCGAGGGTTCTCTTTTTTAAACCGGAATAACTCTATCTGAAAGTGGACTCTTGTGGCTTTAATTTGAGGACAGTCGAATTCGAAAAGTTCGGAAGTTTTCTCGATTATCGGAGTTTTTGAAATGATGTCGAATTTTTATGTGAACGCAAATATTTCTGTCGCAAAATGGATACTTTTAGCTCGAATTTCAGGCCAATGTTTATAAATCCGCGCTGGAAAATATTTAAAAATTGGATTGCAGTCACATCTCGAAATCGAGTCATTTTACTTCGAACCGTTTAAATTTACCGACTTTCCGAAACGATTTCGGATATCCCATTTAATCAGAAAGACCCTATTTCAAGGCCGACGCATTCGCCATTTATTCGAGGCGAACAGCGTCCACGAATTGCCCGTGGAATAAGACTAACAAAAGCCTGTTGCACCAGCCACGTATTCCCGATTAATCCGCGGCGAACGAAAACTCGCGGGTTTGTTCTCGCTCTCAATTAAAAGGCGAAACGCGCGAAAGCTTTCAGGGGCTCCGCCGCCGTCCAATAATTTTCTGGTCGCAAAGCCCGCACGACGGCGACGGAGCGGAACGAAATTTCCTGTCCCGTGAACGCCGCACTGCCCGCCATTGCCTGCGTTTTCTAACCGCGACAAAGCGCCTGCTCGGCACGATAGCGGTTTCTACATGCTTTAAAACTTTACTTTGGCTTTTCGTGTCATGTCTTAACCATTGTCGCGCCAAAGCACGCGATACTTTAGCGAAAAAATCTCTGTCACCAGGGTCACGAACAGGATCACGACGCGGGAGTCGCGGCAGCAGCGGGAACGCGTCGGCTGTCTCGACGAAGTCGAACAAATCGCCGCCGAACCAGCCGAGTAACATGACGGAAACCGTTTTGGATAATGTCACCGTGGAGATTCTCGAGGCGAAGGCGTAGATCAGCGAGAGAACTCTAAAGCGAAACCGAAAAACCGCATGAAAACAAACAGCGACAAAAAAAAAGGAAAGAAAGAAAGACAAAGGTTCCCGACCCTCGTCCAAAGAAGCGTTCAAGAAGCTCTCTATTTTCAAAACTCCTCGCCCTACTCCTTTCCCTTTCTTTTCTAATCTAACGAGGTTTCCGGTTCGTCGTTGTACCGTAAATCTCTTCTAAACGAGTCACTATGTAGCGACTAGAGCTTCGTCGTGTCCACCTTTCGAGGGCAAACGAGTACTTCGTCCGGATAACCGCACGAAACGGCAAGTTTACAACTCAGATAATCATTGTTTACCGAGATAATCACTCTACGATCGCAAGCTGCCGCCTCGATCTACCGATCCACTTCGAGGTGGAGAAAGAAAGAAAAAAAGAGAGAGAAAGAGAAAACCCGGATCAGCTCGGATGCACCGAAAGCTCGCGACATCGACCCTCCGATCATTTTGATAAATCACTGCTGAATCACAGCGAATTAGATAAACGCGATTCGAGCTGCTCTCCGCGCAGAAGGATGATTTTAATCGACACGCGCGCGCGCACGCGGGTGAAGCCTCGGTAATCCGGTTAGATCGTCGCAGACTCCGCCGTCTTCTAAAAACAAAAAACGCGCAACGTTTTCTACAACCAAAAGAAAAAAAAAGAGAAAAGACAAAAAAAAAAGAAAATTGAAGCTTAGGTAATTACGCGGATCGCGTGAATCGCTGAATATTCCTCGCGGGGACTCTCGACGTCGTTTGTAACACAGTTTCGGACCAAACGATAGCGCGCATCGCTTCAAGCTGATCACTCTCTAAGTAATTAACTCGTATTTCGACGCTGCAACGATGCACAACGAGTTGAATCGGTCGTTCTATGAAATGGCGGTGCGGTGGATGCCAGTCGAATTCGAGTCTCGCTCGAATCGTTTGAGAGGCCGATCGACTTGTTCGGAAGATCGAGTTGGCCGGAGCCGAAGGGACGCCTGAGGAAGAAGGGCGTTTAGGGTCCTGGAGGCTAGATTAGGTGACTCTCCGAGTCGTCAGCTGGTCCGATAGCGGGTCGACGCGCGCGATCGCGCGAGGACGCTGACGCGGGAGCTAGGAAATTTTAGGGAAAAACCGGCCGGGACGACCGGCTTTTCGAGAAGCCAACATGACAGGGACCAGACGTGCAAGTTTGAGCCGACATGAATCCTGGAAGTAAGATAGCGACCAACTTCGCCGAGTGGTTTTCTTAAGCACCGTCAAAGTAGCTTTATAATCTAATAATCCCATCATTGAGAAAGTCTTGAATCGCGCGTAATCTAGGCAACGAGATAGCTTCACTACCGTTTAGATCGATTGTTGCCGCTTGACGATCGATCGTCTAACTATACCTCTAGATATCTTTTTCGCTAAAAACGATCGCTCGCTCGGATTCTTAGAGTCTAAGGGGTCTAAGGCTTAGATTGTAACCGCGGCGACAGGATGCTTCGCGAACCGGGAGAACAATTCCTCCGAAGGATTACCGGTCTCGACGAGGCCGATTGTAATTAATTACCGGACTACTCTTCACATAATAGATTAGGCTGGGAGCGCGTCGAAGACGCGCGGCGCGGCGCGGCGTCTCTATTGAATCGCACAAGATCACGTTCTTCGGAAGCTTCGATCGATCTCTACACATTCATCGTGCACCGATCTACTACACATCGAATAATCATCCTCTTCAAGTATATTGTATCCACGTATACAGACAGACAGATAGACAAGCAAACAAACAAACAAACAAACAGAGAAACATACACGCAAAACATCACGAATGGAAGATCATCAATACTCCGGTACGATTGTATCTCAACAATTTAGTGCCTGCGCTCTCGCGTATATAGCGTTTTATGCGAACGGATGAATACGGAGAACGAGAGACATGTATTATAAGACAGATCTTATACGAGTACAAGAGAAGAGAACAGATGAATCTATTAATAGTATATTATATTATATTATACACGCATTATACACGATGAACTAGGTTTCACGAACTATTTGCACGATTTGTAGAACTATACCTTGATTCGATGAGACAAACGCCTAGCGATCGTATCCACTCTGTGATCTATGTGCAACGTATACAGCTACGAAACAGAAAAACAGCGTTCTTCTTGCTACCGTCGTTGTTATACCGACTAATAATTCTTAATCGATTGTACCTAGGGTAATTAGCGATCTCGAGAATCGTTTAAGCGACTCGCTTAGTTATTATGGTCCCGCACCTCACAGAAGTATTGTCTCTATCTCTTCGCACGATTTTGTATAGCACAGGGCCGGAAGGTCTCCCCTATTACGCTAGACCGTTTTGTGAAAGTCTAGCCATTAACCGATCCCGAGAGAAAATCCCGAGGAGGAAGAACGATCGGTGAGGAATCGGTCTGATCCGCGAACGAAATTCGGGGAAGGTTTCCGTTTTCGGATAGAACGTTTCCTCCGTTGGTCTTCTATCCAACTCTCTATCTCTCGGCCATCGTTCTCAGCCGTGGAAAGTAATCGTCCGCTTTAATAACTCTAGAGTAATCGTACAGAAGAAGTTAGAACGTATTTGTCGATCGTAAGACGCTTTCGAGTCGTTAGTTTCCCTCCACCCTTACGAGTATCTAGGAAAAACACACAATGAAAACATGCAGGGTGCCTCCGTCTTCGTCACGTGAAAGACGCTCGTTCACTTTTTCTACGCCTCGAATTCTACCATCATATAGAAAGGTAGAAATCCCGTAGCTGGTACTCACCGAAACAAACTGTTCCATTTCTTTCCGGTAGAGTCTCTCCTTCCTTCGTGCTCGCCCATGGGATCATAAGATCAAGCTCGTTCATGAGATCAATTTCTGGACAGCCCCGGATCGATAGAGGATTCAAGGGACATCGTAAGGTCCTTCGGGGATCGAGCGTGGATCGTACGGTGCGGTAATCCAAGTATGGGGAAGTGTTTGGATTACCGTCGTGGATCCACACTGATAGAGAAGCTGGGATCGACGTCGCTCGACGGTGATCCACAACGAGGAATTTAGACAATAGATCGTCGACGTGGTCTCTCGATCGATGGCGCAGAGACCGCGACAGGGGCGGTCGTCGGATCGCGAATTGATCCAGCGATCCACGGGTTCTCGTCTCGCTGATTACCAGAACCTTCCATGCCATCGCGATCGGCCCCTGATCATCGATTATCTCCTGTAACACACACGTTTGTTAGCGTTAACCAATTGTATTCTAATCATTCTCACATTCGCTTGCTTTTATGGGTACTATTTACCAGCTTCGATGAAACATAGGATGACCCTCTATGGACGATTTAATAGGGAAATCTCGTCCCGTTGTACTTCGCTTGTTTTATGGGATTCCGATCCGTCCTCTGGATTCGACTGGCGGGTCGGCGAAACATTGTGATTCTCTAGCGTGAAATGATATATTATCGTCTGTAATCATTGACCGAAACATTAATACACCTAGGCATACCACACGGGATACAGTTCGCGATATACCGTAGCTCCGCTTTGATTCTAAGGCGTTTAACAATTAAGCTCTATCAATTACGCGCTACGTTGATATATATAAATATATATAACTTTTAAGATTATTATTATATAAAGATTTTTAGCCACCAACTTGGAATCTACGGAGATATATATATTTATGTATGTATATATGCATACATAAATACGTATACTTTTCAGAGAGATTATAACGAGACAAACATATTTAGAGAAAACTTCAAACGCGAGGATACCGCGTAGCGATTTAGAGTATCCTAAATAATCGCGTGGATGGGTGCGGGTAAAAATTGTATGCGAGTCTCTCATTTTTTCAATTTTCAATATTTTATAAAGTGTCCGGTACGCGACGAAAGTGGATACGTATCTATACATAATGTACGTGTTGTACGGTATGTATAGGTGCGTGTGTTATATATTAATATCATTGAACTTTTAGCAATATACTACCCACACTATTTTATTAGCGGCTTAGCCTACCTTGTAACCTTTATATTATACATTTCATATTATAGCTTATATAACGGATAATTAATGATCTATTACGATTGTATTTGAAACTTAAATTATATTCTAACTCTTCGAATTCATTTTAATAAACTTATTACACTGTATCGACCATTCGATTAATATTCCTGCATCAATACAAGAGAGGAAAATGGGAGATGGAGAGATCTGTGGTTGTGAAGCAGAACAATGTAAGTCACGTTTGTTAGAACATTTTTCATTAAAGAGCAATTAAATAAAAGGCCAAAAATTTACTTCTCGCACATGGGAGATATAAACATATGGTGTTCAGCGAGAGTATCTGTATACAAGAATGAAGTTTATTCGAAATTTGTTAACTAAGAATTCTACATGAACTTAGTCTGACAGTGCTGCAAACGCATTCTTGAAAATCAAGAAATTAAATTAGCCAATTTCATCCTACAAAATTGGTCCAATAGTCTAATGAAGAAAAACAATGTAAGTTCATATTAAGCTCGAAAGTACTGTGACTTATTTCGTTTTACCTTACAAATACAGAGATAAGACAATTAAATAAATATTAAAGCATCGTTTCCTTGTTTCGTCATTTATTACAAACAATATTCGGTTCGAATCCTTATAACAATACACTAAGTGTAAAATTGTCTTAAATGTACGATTTTTAAATATTTACAATCTATAAATACTGTACACCTTATGGTCTAGGTCTATTTGTAGGAATTTTTAGCTCTCCAATCAAGAAACTCGTCAAAGTCTGCCTCATCGTCGCTCGAGATATCCTCGTCAGTGTTCTTTTGTTTCCTATCTGTAGCTTGTACTTGTTCCTTGCGTTTCACAAGATCCATTACTCTGTTGGAACAATGAATACAGGTATGAGTTATAGGTAAGTTATACTTACAGGTATGAGTTATACAGGTATAAGTTAATGAGTTACAGGTATGAGTTATACAGGTATAAGTTAATGAGTTACAGGTATCGATGGATATTAAGTGAAACTTAATTTTTAATTACCTAGACCAATGTCGTATCTGTTCTTCTATTTCATCCAATTGCCTTTCTGTAGTAGCTTCTTCCTGATCATCTGCAATAATCTGTGCAGATTGTGCTGTTTCTTCTTTAATTTCTTTCTGGAACTTCTCCCATTCTTCTTCTATTGGATTTTTGTACTCAACATTACGAACCTAAAACCATAAAAATCATAGATTTGTATTAATCAGGCTTGGTCACTGAACAATTACAGTCGAGATTAATAAATTATTGGCAATTTATTATTTATTTACTTTGGCATCTAAAACTGGATCATCAAAGAATCCTTCTGGTAGAACAGTTTGATTTGCATTCTTGTTTTTATCTATTTTCTTCTCTTCTTCTGTTTCTGTGGTTATGTCCTTATTATTTGTAAGATCTTTACTCTCTGACTTATGCACACACACTGTTACTGATGCATTTGTTGGTAATGAACCATTGGATTGCTTAGAATTATCAAAAAAGTCTGCTGGTAAACTTGATGCCACTTGCGTTGACTGCGAAAGAGGATTCTTCAATATCCCTCTTATTTTTTTATTTGCTGGAGACTCTTGGGAAGGAGATGTAGGCCTTTTAAATGTGTGTCTTGCAGTCTTCGTTGTTGCTTCTAATTTGGTTTTTTTTGCTAATTCTACGTTTTCCTTGTGACTCTTTGAATTTAAGTGAACTGGCCAAACTGTTTCGCTTCTCACAACAGCTTTACATAAAATACACATTAACTGTCCTGCATCTGTATATGTGTTTACCATGAGTTAAGGATTTTTTAAAGAATATGCATATTTAGAATTGATACTTGATTTGTATTCAGATTTCAAATAAAGTGGATCTCATTTCGATTAATCATTTAAAAAGTAGTACAAATGCATGAAATATTTCGAAAAAATCATTAAATATAATGAACATTTAGCGAAATGTAAATCTTAACCTAAACATGTGGTAAAAATAATGTAAAGGATATTTTGCCAGTGGCGATTCAATTTTCTTGACAACGCCTAATTTCCTTTTGTGTTCACTCATCGCTTTACGTAGATCATCCTGCGTTAATTTTCGTTTGAGTGACATTTTGAGACACAAATTATAACACTTAAATCACAGAAACAGTTCTTCGCATATAGGTTATGTTTTTGTCAACCACTTGACTAACCACTTGAACTACTACTGAATACGTATACGCGTACATATGTTTATGTACATATCGAATGCGAATGTTGCGCACTCTGTGCTCAACTTATTGAACTAACATGGGCTGTTTGCGTCTTGTATCATTGTCATAATGTATTGTATTTTATTAATTATTGTATTGTATTGTATTGATGTCATAATGTTGAAAAATAAATAAATCTTTTATTGTGTACGTAAAGGTTTTTGTATTGCTGGATAAATTAGTCATGGGAGACCACATTTCTGATGCCTCTGATGATAACCTATTCAATATAACTGGGCAGTGTAAATCATGTATCGTAGAAGTTCCAAATTCAGAACTGTTAACACTTATAATGAAATGCGTAAATTTTGCGGCAATAAAACATAAGGATCAAAGAAGAAAAGACCCTGCAGAAACACCGTACATAAATCATCCTATAGGTTTGTAACCTTTTAAAATATAATTTATTTATCATAGATTGTGCATAAGACGGAAACAAAACAAATTGCAGTTTCTAAAACCTTGGACATTTCTTTAGGTGTTGCAAATATTTTGATTGAAGAAGGTAACATTTATGATCCAGCTGTAATTTTGGCAGCTCTTTTACATGATACTGTGGAAGACACAGATGTAACATTTGATCTATTAGAAGCTCAATTTGGTAAAGAAGTATCTGATATTGTTAAAGAAGTAACAGATGATAAGAGCTTATCAAAAGCAGAACGTAAAAGATTACAAATAGAAAATGCTCCTAAGCGAAGTTATAAAGCTAAATTAGTTACTTTAGCAGATAAATTACATAATTTAAGAGATCTTGAAAAAACTGTACCAAAAGGATGGACACAAGAAAGAGTAAAAGAATATTACAAGGTAATTTATATAGGGTGGTTCACCCAAATATCTCCCTTGATTGTGATGATATCAAATCTATTAAACAGACTTGTAACAGATACATATTAATTACAGTGGGCCAAGGCTGTGATAGATGGATGTCGTAAGACTAATTTTAAACTAGAAAGAGAATTAGATTTAATATATGCCAAGCGAATAGCTAAGGAGAGGGAAATATGTGGATGTAAAAAAATTTCTATATCAGACTTTCTATAATCCAGTAATTGATACATTGAAAATTTATTCAACAAGTATAAAAGAGGAAAATGTATCTTTCTAAAATTGAAAACAATGTGCAACAATATAATGAATGTTATTAAATACCAACTTTCCTAATATTTGAATAATCATAAAGAAAACGATATAAAAAATATAAATGTCTGTATACAAAGCTTGCAAAAATATTATATATGTGGTGCATATGTAGCTACAGACTATTTTTTATAAAATATATTTATTAAGATTCCCTATACTATACCTAAACTTCATTGCAATGCTCTTGGTAGAACAATTTCATGTATTCTGCAAGTTTCTCTACTTCATCTACAGTAACAGCATTGTAAAATGATCCTCGAATACCACCCACAGTCCTGCAATAAATAATGAAAGGTATAACTTATTAAGGAGAAGAAAGGAAGTATTATTCAAACTGAAAAGTCAAAGGCTCTCATTATTGCACAGTCTATTTTTCAAGTCATACTGACCTGTGACCTTTTAACTGAAGCATTCCGCGGGCACTTGCGCCTTGAAGGAATTTCTTCTCAAGCTCCTCATCATCTTTGCCTATTCTAAATGGCACATTCATCCTACTTCTCACATCAGACTTGATTGGGCAAGTATAAAATCCTTTAGACTGATCAATCACCTCGTATATTTTCTGACTCTTTATGATTGCCAATTTTTCCATTCCCTCAACACCTCCGTGCTCTTTGATCCATTGGAACACTAATCCGACCATGTATATTCTAAACAATTAAAATTAATTTGTTTATGTTTAGAAATAAATATTGTTGATAAGTTTTGTCACAACATGCTATTATCAACAATATTTACTGAAATACTGGCGGTGTGTTGTGCAAGGAATTATCAGCTGCCATAACAGTGTAATCCAGCACTGTTGGACAGACTTTCACAGCCTGGTTTAGAACATCATCACGCACTATAACGAGCGTCACACCTGCCGGACCAATGTTCTTCTGGGCACCCGCGTATATCAGTGCAAACTAAACGTAATGTTATTCAATTTGATTAAACATCCACATCAGTCATTAAGATGAATATGATTTTTTAAATTAAATGACACATACTTTAGAGATATCTACAGGTCTCGTTAGAATGTTCGACGACATGTCGGCAACAAGAGGTACTCCATTTGTCTCGGGAACATAATTGAATTCGATTCCTGAAACAATTATTCTCCATGAATAAATCATTGGTCAAGCATACTATATTGTTCATATTATTATCATTAATTTACCATGAATCGTCTCGTTGGCGCAATAATAAACATATGATGCATTTGGATCCAAATTCCATGTAGATGGATCCGGAACCTCGGTGTATTTCGTTGTTTTTGGCAGAACTAAATTTACATTGCCATATTTTGCTGCTTCTTTAGCCGCCTTAGCCGACCACGATCCTTGAAAATTTATATTCTAAGAACTTGTTAATTANATTAAGGAGAAGAAAGGAAGTATTATTCAAACTGAAAAGTCAAAGGCTCTCATTATTGCACAGTCTATTTTTCAAGTCATACTGACCTGTGACCTTTTAACTGAAGCATTCCGCGGGCACTTGCGCCTTGAAGGAATTTCTTCTCAAGCTCCTCATCATCTTTGCCTATTCTAAATGGCACATTCATCCTACTTCTCACATCAGACTTGATTGGGCAAGTATAAAATCCTTTAGACTGATCAATCACCTCGTATATTTTCTGACTCTTTATGATTGCCAATTTTTCCATTCCCTCAACACCTCCGTGCTCTTTGATCCATTGGAACACTAATCCGACCATGTATATTCTAAACAATTAAAATTAATTTGTTTATGTTTAGAAATAAATATTGTTGATAAGTTTTGTCACAACATGCTATTATCAACAATATTTACTGAAATACTGGCGGTGTGTTGTGCAAGGAATTATCAGCTGCCATAACAGTGTAATCCAGCACTGTTGGACAGACTTTCACAGCCTGGTTTAGAACATCATCACGCACTATAACGAGCGTCACACCTGCCGGACCAATGTTCTTCTGGGCACCCGCGTATATCAGTGCAAACTAAACGTAATGTTATTCAATTTGATTAAACATCCACATCAGTCATTAAGATGAATATGATTTTTTAAATTAAATGACACATACTTTAGAGATATCTACAGGTCTCGTTAGAATGTTCGACGACATGTCGGCAACAAGAGGTACTCCATTTGTCTCGGGAACATAATTGAATTCGATTCCTGAAACAATTATTCTCCATGAATAAATCATTGGTCAAGCATACTATATTGTTCATATTATTATCATTAATTTACCATGAATCGTCTCGTTGGCGCAATAATAAACATATGATGCATTTGGATCCAAATTCCATGTAGATGGATCCGGAACCTCGGTGTATTTCGTTGTTTTTGGCAGAACTAAATTTACATTGCCATATTTTGCTGCTTCTTTAGCCGCCTTAGCCGACCACGATCCTTGAAAATTTATATTCTAAGAACTTGTTAATTAATTTTTTTTAATAACAGTAGCAATTTCAATCTTAAACCAATAAATTGATCTCATTTTTTAAAAGAACATTTAGAGACTTGAAATTGTGGAATTTACCAGTCACTATATAATCTGCAGTACCAGTAGTCATCATGTTTAATGGAATGGCCGCAAATTGGCCTGTACCTCCGCCTTGCATAAATAAAATTTTATAATTATCGGGGACGTGGCTGAAACATTGAAAGAATAAATTTTATATTTTTTAACTGAAAATTAACAAAAAATTGTTTACATTAACTTACAATATTTCGCGCAAAGTTGCCTGAGCAGTTTCGACAACATTTTTGAATTCGTTTGATCTATGACTTAACTCCAAAATGCTGATTTGAGTGTTACCAAATGCGAGAAATTCCTTCTGTGCTTCTCGCATTACCTATAAATAAAACAATTTTATTGATCTATTTAAAACTATAAAAATAACTTCGGAGTGTTTTCAAATTGACAATGAAAATACAGATAAATATATGCAATACTATTCATATTGTAACAAAAATAAGAAATAAAATAAAAATGTATATAACTACCCTAATATTTATTGTTAACTGATCTTAAGTAACGCACGCGATGGTTCAATGAATGAATTTGACCTCTACGTAATTAATCTATTAGTATACTATATACTATATTTCGAGAAATCCGTTAATTCTAGGTTTCCATTCTGAGAATTTATTACTTCCCTAATATATTTGGTAACATTTGCACATACTTGAAAAACAGTATCATCTAATGGTGCTATTTCGTTTCCGAAGGTTTACAGAATATTTCGATAATTATCACAATGTTCTTAACGTAATATAATTTCCTTTTGTAAAAACAAAATCATTTCGTTTTAATTAAATAAGTTATTCACATTACCTCGTGTGGAAGTTTACCCGGTCCGGCACCAAAATTAATGACGGTGTTTTTCGTTTGCTCGGTCATTGTAAATGTAGCGTGCTCGTCGGTTGATACGGACAGACTGATCTAAAAGATCCAGCAAGCGAGTGAGCAAACCAATTTCCAATTCAGCAAGCCTCGTTATCTCTTTGTAAATGTTTAGGGCAACTTTATCTCGTACAGATACTTTTTCTTGCCTATTCGAAACTCGTACACATGTTGCAACGTGCTCTCGAAATATTATACTGCGATTTCTAATCGATCTACTTAATCATAGATCACTCTCGGAAAAATTTCTCCTCGTTCACCGGTTCTTTCACTTTCTCCCTCTAATTTTATTTCACCTATAATCCCTTATATAACCAGAGATTTATCACGCGTGGTACACATCAATTTTTGATCACTTGATATATTATTTCAAACTGTTTTATTCGATATGTGTATATAAGACACTTGTTGAGCAGGTTTCGAAGGTCAGAATCAGTCAGAATTATTGACTGGCCGTTCGGCGAGATTGCTCTGTCCTTAAAATTGAAATATTTATTTAATCGTTTTGTCTATCCTTTATTCGCGAATTTTTCTGTTGATGACAATAGAAAATTTAACTAAAATTGGATGGATATTAGATGTATGGTAGAAGCAATGAAACAATTGTAGTAATCGCATCATTATTTTCCTTTGTACGAGCGTCCTATTTTGCCACAATGGCGTAGAGAAAGATGACATTTCTCTACGCTTAATTTAACAATTTTCATATTTTTCGTTTTAATGTTAAGGAGGAAATTATTATTAGAAAATGATAAATCTCCATGCTTCGATACGCCCCCCGCAATGCCTTATCTTTGGGTTACGAAAACAAGTTCTTGGAATCCGGATAAATCCGGATGGTTTACTAGCCTGGATCATATAATGAAAGTTCTCTTATCTTTGCAGAATTTATAAGCATGCCTTGTAATTGCACATTTACGTTCTGTTTTTCAAAAACAAAAAATTAAGACACTAAGTACATATGAATGTACATGTACATACCTACAAGTAGGGGTAGGCGATTCTGAATCGATTTTCTACAGAATCGATTTTCGATTTTTTTCAATCGATTTACAACATTTCGTCTTTCTAAATTCATTGCCTTTAAATAATTGATTAATAAATGAAAATCTATCATCTATAATACTATCGAAATACCAATTACAGTATCATATGATGAGACACCGCAAGTAAATTTTTGTGTGAATTAGATTAGTACATTTATTTATTTATTGAGGACCTGAAAAAAATGAAGAATTATTAGTTCTTATGAATCAGTTGGTAAAAAAGAGGGAGACACCGTACATAGAGAATCAAAAATTAAAAGCGCGGCATTTACGAAATATAAGTAAATACAAATTGAATTTCACTTTAAAAATTTCTTTCATCGTTACATCGCGTTTGAGAGAGATTCTACAGTTATATTTTTGTAGAGGGAAGATAGATGCAATCTAAAATAATTAAAAAATAAAACGAGATTGCCCTGTGTAAACATTAGAAATTGAGTTGTAAAAACCAGTTGGAGTTTCGTTTCTAGACAAATTCGTTACAATAATGCGTCGCAACTTTGTAAACATTAATTTAAACTGATTTAGACTTCAAAGGAAACACGGATCGTTAAATTTTGGAAGTATAAAAATCTAGTTAAATAATTAACTATCGTTGTTTTGTATCTCCATATGTATAAGTGATGTGTATAGTTATTGAATCTGTGCAAGGGTTTATATTGTATTTAACAAACCAGTAAAATATGGATTCGTTTAAAACGTTTATGAATATTTTCATTAGAGCTGCGAAAAACAAAAACAACGACGACCTTGCAGAAATTTTAGGGAACAGTAGAACGTATTTTGAAAAATTATCGAAGGATGACAGCGGTATGGATACACAATTAATACTATTTTTCCTTCCACTATATTTCACAATAAATTTACAACAAAAATATAGCCTTCTAATGTCTTGCATTGTTCTTTCAGAATTGGCATTATCCTTATTTTTTGATAAACAGGAGGGTATTATCTGGTTTCTTGAAAATGAACTTAACAAATCACAGCTTCAGAAAGGCTTTGATTCAATAATTAAGAATGCATTTGATCTCCTACAATTTGTTATAGCACAATTATCTGAAATATGTGTACCATACATCACTG